TTTGCACAAGATAGAACAACAGACCTTTTGCAGTATCGTACAGAAAGCAACCCATCTGTGGCCATCACTACAACCGGGGGGGCAACTGAGCCACTCAGACTAGCAGTAATTCCATCATCCTCACTGTCTGCAGCTGAAATGGCAACAATTTCCTATCTACACTGACTAGTTTTTCAGAGTAACAAAACCAAAACATTGTTGACAATTACAGAGAAGATGGAGAAAATGGCCGATAACGCATCAGAATTTATTTTTCTATTTATTTCCATCCAAAACTGTAAACCTTTACAGACAATCCAACATGATGAAGGACAGAATCCCTTAAACTGGGGAGGGTGCAGGGGGAGGAGGGGGGAGATTAAAAAAAAATAAAAAGTGAATTGTGTTACTGAGCTTATGTTTCTTACCTTCTCATATTGCAAAAGACCACAATCTCTATAAACAAAAGAATATGTTGACAGTTTTAGGCAGGAAGATAGAGGAGTTTTCATGAAAAAGTTGCCTAGCCTCCATGCTGAAAATTGACACTGATAAACCAGAACAGTTAGAGGTCCCTTCTCTAAAACTAGGCGGCTAGGACACAACAACAACAAAAAAATACAACAAAAAACAAAGAAAATAACTTATAGGCCGAGTACATGCACTTGGCTCTCATGCAACATTAGAGTCATGCAAGAAACTCGTCTAACGCTGGTTGGGTTTACACACTTACTAGACTTTTCTGAACGCATAAAAGGGAACAAGATACGAGAACACAAACGGAGGGCTTACCTTTAAAAAAACCGCCATAGATCGACTCTCCGCCTTTCCCGTTACCTAATACGAAACAGCAGAATTCAAGCTGAATATGATATTCATCCCACATTGCAGAATGTCAGGATATTTCATTTCAATTGGAAGGCTTTTTAATTCCTTAACCCCTTCTCATCCTAACCAGTGTGGTTTACACTGACTCGTTGGGATCCACGCGCTACTTCATACAAGACATGGTTTACATTAGGGATGCGCCAATACTAGTATCAGTATCGTTGCCGATACCGAGTATTTGGGCGAGTACTCAGCCTTCGCTCCCTATGTCCATCAATTAGCTTTGGCCGCGCATCACCCTGTTGCCGGTTCACCGTTTTTCCTTCCTTGAACCACTTTTTGTAGGTCCTGACCACTGCAGACCGGGAACATCCCACAATGCCTAATATATCCTATCCACTTCCAGGTGCCATTGTAACAAGATAATCAATGTCATTCATAATGTTATGGCTGATCGGTGTACACTGAACATTTAACATACCTACCAAGCACCGAAGTCACTATTGTGAGGGGGAGCTGCTGAGTCACTGCTGGGAAAGGGGAATAAGGGAGCTGAGCTAAGTCACTGCTGGGAGCAGGGGGAGCCGAGCTGCTGAGTCAGTGCTGGGAGCCGGGGGAGCTGAGCTGCTGAGTCAGTGCTGGGAGCCGGGGGAGCCGAGCTGCTGAGTCACTGCTGGGACCTGGGGGAGCCGAGCTGCTGAGTCACTGCTGGGACCTGGGGGAGCCGAGCTGCTGAGTCACTGCTGGGACCTGGGGGAGCCGAGCTGCTGAGTCACTGCTGGGACCTGGGGGAGCCGAGCTGCTGAGTCACTGCTGGGACCTGGGGGAGCCGAGCTGCTGAGTCACTGCTGGGACCTGGGGGAGCCGAGCTGCTGAGTCACTGCTGGGACCTGGGGGAGCCGAGCTGCTGAGTCACTGCTGGGACCTGGGGGAGCCGAGCTGCTGAGTCACTGCTGGGACCTGGGGGAGCCGAGCTGCTGAGTCACTGCTGGGACCTGGGGGAGCCGAGCTGCTGAGTCACTGCTGGGACCTGGGGGAGCCGAGCTGCTGAGTCACTGCTGGGACCTGGGGGAGCCGAGCTGCTGAGTCACTGCTGGGACCTGGGGGAGCCGAGCTGCTGAGTCACTGCTGGGACCTGGGGGAGCCGAGCTGCTGAGTCACTGCTGGGACCTGGGGGAGCCGAGCTGCTGAGTCACTGCTGGGACCTGGGGGAGCCGAGCTGCTGAGTCACTGCTGGGACCTGGGGGAGCCGAGCTGCTGAGTCACTGCTGGGACCTGGGGGAGCCGAGCTGCTGAGTCACTGCTGGGACCTGGGGGAGCCGAGCTGCTGAGTCACTGCTGGGACCTGGGGGAGCCGAGCTGCTGAGTCACTGCTGGGACCTGGGGGAGCCGAGCTGCTGAGTCACTGCTGGGACCTGGGGGAGCCGAGCTGCTGAGTCACTGCTGGGACCTGGGGGAGCCGAGCTGCTGAGTCACTGCTGGGACCTGGGGGAGCCGAGCTGCTGAGTCACTGCTGGGACCTGGGGGAGCCGAGCTGCTGAGTCACTGCTGGGACCTGGGGGAGCCGAGCTGCTGAGTCACTGCTGGGACCTGGGGGAGCCGAGCTGCTGAGTCACTGCTGGGACCTGGGGGAGCCGAGCTGCTGAGTCACTGCTGGGACCTGGGGGAGCCGAGCTGCTGAGTCACTGCTGGGACCTGGGGGAGCCGAGCTGCTGAGTCACTGCTGGGACCTGGGGGAGCCGAGCTGCTGAGTCACTGCTGGGACCTGGGGGAGCCGAGCTGCTGAGTCACTGCTGGGACCTGGGGGAGCCGAGCTGCTGAGTCACTGCTGGGACCTGGGGGAGCCGAGCTGCTGAGTCACTGCTGGGACCTGGGGGAGCCGAGCTGCTGAGTCACTGCTGGGACCTGGGGGAGCCGAGCTGCTGAGTCACTGCTGGGACCTGGGGGAGCCGAGCTGCTGAGTCACTGCTGGGACCTGGGGGAGCCGAGCTGCTGAGTCACTGCTGGGAGCCGGGGGAGCTGAGCTGCTGAGTCACTGCTGGGAGGGATGAGCTGCTAAGAGATTTACTTCAGTGTTTCTGCTGTCAATTTTGAAGATGAATTGCTGCACTGTACCTGAAGCTATGAGGGTTAGAGGGGACGCCCATTTTAAAGCGCATATATTTATAATGCTGAAAACACTAATGAAATGGGCTCTTCAACAAAGGCTTTACGTCTCTTACGCTTCTCCTTACCTTCGCTGAAGTCGCCACCCTGTATCATAAAGTGTTTCACCACTCGATGGAAAGTGGAGCCCTTATACCATAACTTTTTCCCTGTCACTTTTCCGATTCCCTTTTCACCTGCGGGCACAAGAAGAGGCAGAGCGGCCATTAGTGGCAGCAGGCATATTCATCCAGCAGACATAACAAGGTATGCTCGTTCTACGGTTATTTGATAGGTTTATATACATACGCATGTTGGTTTCTAACTCTATCATCTGAAAAAAGAAAGAGAAGAACACTTTCCACAGATTGTTGGGGCGCCTCTATAGAGAGCTGCCCGCCTTCACCTACCTGTACACAGGCTCAGGAAGTTCATGCAAGTTTTAGGACAGACATCAGAGAAGAGCTGAAACACAATACGGCCAACTGTGGAGGAAAATAAAGAATTCAACAGTATTAACTCAACAGACTGATACGTCGTCCTCAGACAATATACACAGCTAGCGATCTGTTCAAGTGAATCTGAAAATCCAAATCTAAATAGTATATCAAAACACGTAATGGACGACATTTGGTTTGTTGAATTATGCCGTACCATAGAGAAATGACACTTTTTTAGGAGGCTGTTTTCACTCTTTATTATTTTATCATTTTCGCTATCTCAGTGCTGCTCATATCCTCCAGCCTCCTTCATGTCTATGTGCACTCGCTCCAGCATTGGCTGCACATCATTGTCTGTATCAGCTTTGACTTTGTTGTTTTAAATTAAAAATGTCCCGTTCCTCGTTTTCTAGTGGGTCCCAGCAACGCTCTCCCTCCACACGTGTGCCGCCATTAGCTAAGCAGCGGCTGTGGAGGAACCCGTGCATGCTGGCTCCCGACTGTGCATACAAGTGGCTGTGTGCGTCCATAGACGCCCCTCCTCTCGGCCCAACAGGTGGATTGACGGCAGAAGCCCCCCCCCCCCGCAACCAGGAAGTTCGGACGGAGGATTGCTTCGGGGACCAGACAGGCAAGTGGGGGGACAGTAAGTTACTGGCCGTTTTTACCTTCAGAGAATGCATGACGGTAAAAAACGCTGAGCCTTTAGTAATACTTTAAAACCTGGAAGGATGGTGGTGAACCATCATCTTTGAGGAAAAAATGTGGTCGGAAAAAAAATCTTGAATGATGGTGATCGGACATCGTTTAAACGTTTGGTGAAATCAAGTTGTAAAAAAATCAACAGTAGAACTCACGACTCTGTTTAATAGTAAAAGTAAAAGTATTTCCCCACGCACAATGCAAAAAGAACTCGAGGGATTGGGACTAAAAAGCTGTGTAGCCTTAAAGGAGAACTATGGGGTCAGGTCTTTTCCCCATAGTTCTCCTTAGGGTAACGGGTGGACACAAACTAGAGTCCTCCCGTCACCCTAGGCTCAGTAGCTCTGACTCGCTCTGCGGCCAGAGATCAAACGGAGCTCAGTACACGAGCTCCGTTTGATCTCCTCCTCCTCTTCGGAATGCACGCAGTGATGTGTATTACATCACTGCCTGCATTCAGTGTCACTCTCCGGTACAGAAACCGGAGAGAAGCTGATGAAGCAGGTCTCTGCTTCATCAGCTTCTCTGGGGGTCCCTAGGTGACATTAGGGGTCTTAAAGACCCCTGATGTCTCCATAAAGAGGACCTGTCACTGAAAATTGGCTATCACAAAGGGGGCTTGTTAGTCCCCTATGTGATAGCAATAAAGTTAGGTGAAAAAAAATGTTTAAAAGAATTAGTTACATAAAACATGCGTCGAGCGAGCCTAAGTGCGTAAACGACGACTGCATCCATTACGCCGCACATGTTACATATCGCCGCGAACGTCGCAGTGAGAGCAATAAGTCTAGGGCCATCAATCACTGATAACACTAAACTGATGAGCGGTAAAAGCTTTTAAAGCGTCGCCTATGGCCGATTTTGGGTATGGTAGTTTGTGCGAGTTCGTGGACGCGCCCAATTTCAAAGCTTAACATGTTTGGTGTCTATTTACCCGATGTGACCCCGCCTTTTATATTTTAACAAAAATGTGGGTAATAATAACTGTTTTATAACATAACGTAGGGAAAACATTTTTTTTTTCTCCAAGTTTTCGGTACTTTTTTCATTATATAGTAAAAAATAAAAACCCCCAGTGGTGTTTAAATACCACCAAGAGAAAGCTCTATCTGTCCCCAAAAAATGGTATAAAATTAATTTCAGTACAGCGTTGCATGACAGAATAAATGTCAGTCAAAGTACCGCAGCGCTGAATACTGAAAAATGGGCGGGACAGGAAGGGGGTATAAACACAGCGGTCAGCAAGTGGTTAAAGTCTTTACATCAAGGTTTTTGCTGCTTTCTAACAGGTTCCTGCAAATGATACACTCGTGGACAGGAAGCTATGACCTTCTCAACGTATCCTGTATGGAAATCAGATCCCATAACAAGAGCTCTCTTGTTCTAATCGGTGCTGCTGTCTGGCATCCCGGCCCCTCTCCTGTATGTTAATGAGAGACACATTACCACGGCAGCTGGAGGAGGAGAAGAGGACGCCACGTGTCAGGGTGGCTCTACGTTGCTATTTTCAGCATTTCTGATGGTGGATCAGCTTTGCCCCACCCAGGCCAGGCCACGCGTATCACAGAGAGAAGCTCTGCACATGACAGAGGCTCTGTACAGAAGAGGGCGCTAGCAGAGCCATAGAATGTCTGCACAGCTCCTACAGGAGAGCTCATGGATCTCATATACGGGAGCTTCAGTCTGCTCGTTACTGCAAGGCTGTAAGACCCATTATTCTGTATAACCCCAACATGCATCCACCCTCTGGAGAATGCAGGATGTAACGCACAGGTTGTCATGCCGTACTAAATAATAAATTATATTAAACCAAAACGACCGGTCCTCAAGATCTAGGACATGCGCATTTAGAACATTTAAAAGTGTCTGAATAGTGAAAAAAAACAATTGTACTTATGCAAATTTTCCCATGCTTTATCTCTGTAAAAAATGCTGCAGGAGCAAAAAGATACCGGCTGGTCCTTCCAAAAATCCACTGAGCTCCTTACTTCCTGTTGGAGCTGACAACTCTGCTGAACCGAAATCCCAACTGATGTTGTCAGCCCTGCCCAGCTCTATGTAACAATGACCGCTGCTCTGATTGGCGGTCAGGGCAGAGAACGTTTGCAGTGGATATTCCTGCAGGAACTTTGCACACCTCTGCGAGTATAAGCCGGTGTCCAATAGAAATGAAATTATGAATCAATGATGTCACACTGACGACCCATGTTAAATTTGAAGTAAAAATTTACTCCTTTCCTGCTATGAATAAAAACTTGCTGCCCCTTAACTCTTCCCAGTGGCTTAAGCCTAGGCAAAGATCACATGGTCATTGGCTGCTAGAGACTGTGAGCACACTATCAAAACTGGAGCAGACAAAATCTGGAGCAGTAGCCTATGGCAACCAATCAGCTTCTCTCTTCAGTTTGTTCAGTTAAGATTTGAAAATGAAAGAGAGAAGCTGATTGGTTGCCGTGCACAGCTGCTGCTCCAGATTTGGTCTGCTCCAGTTTTGATAAATTCCCCTGGCTGTATTTGGGGGCTAGCCAAACTTCAGACTCTCGGCAGTGTTTAATGGCAGGGCTAGCCAAACTTTGACCCTTTAGCTGTGGTGAAACTAAATCCATCATGCATCTGCTTCTGGTCATGTCTGTTGTGGAACTATAGCTCAGGCTTTAGGACAGGGGCGGGCAACCTCAGCATTCCAGCGGTTGTAGAACTACAAGCCCCATGAGACTTTGCAAGACTCTTACAGTCACAGACAAGACTGGGAGAAACAGAAACTTGGCCACCCCCCCTACGGTATATCATTAAAGACTGTTGAAAGTTTGGGAACCTTGCAGTAAGATACACTATTTGCCCAAAAGTTTATAGACACCTGTATAAGCTTGTTGGACATCCCATGCCTAACCCATTGGTGTTCATATGGAGATGGTCTCCTCTTTGCAGCTATAACAATGTACGCTCTCCTGGGAAGGCTTTACATCAGATTTTGGAGTGCGTCTGTGGGACTTTGTGCCCAATAACCCAAAAAAGTAGGGCTGTTAATGATTAAAATTTTCGTGTTTGAGTAATCAAAATTTTTTTAAATCGGTTAATTATAACGCACATGCAGATCCAACTACATTGGCCTATACACATACAGCACAGAATGGGACTCCCGGAAGCCGGCGGAGAGGAGTGTTTTCATTAGCGATCAAAATAATTTTAATCGAACAAAAAGTTTAACGATTAAATCGAGAAATTAATCTTTAATTTCCACAGCCCTACAAGCATTTGAAGTCAGGTACTGATGTTGGATGAGAAGACCTGGCACATGTCGGTGTTCCAGTTCATCCCAAAAGTGTTCAGTAGGGTTGAGGTCAGGGCTTGCAGGCCGCTTGAGTTCCTCCTCACCAGGCTGGTCAAACCATGTCTTTATGGAGCTGGCTTTGTTGCCCACAATCGGCATTCCAATTCATCCCAAAAGGGTTCGGTAGGGTTGAGGTCAGGGGTCTGTGCAGGACACTCGAGTTCCTCCGAACCAAACTCATGAAAACATGTCTTTATAAAGGCACGGTCATGCTGAGACAGAAAAGGATCTTCACTAAACTGTGGCCACAGGGACAGAAGTGCGCAACAGTCTGTATACTGTAACATTAACCGTACCCTTCACTGGAAACATCTGAACTCAAGTATTTGAAGGGGGGAGTGGAATAGTCCACATACTTTTGGACATTTAGTGTAAGAGGATCAGCAAGACACCCCTTAACAGGAAGCAAAGTACATATGCACACACTGCATATAATATACACAGAAACTAGGTTTTTAAAGCATTAACACACCGATAACATGAATTATATTAAACTGATTCTACACATGAAAAAAAATATAAATTATCCTTCAAGTGGAGATGGTTTTCCAAGACACAGATCTACTACTAGTGGACCCCAAAGCTCCCCTAGGATCCTCAAGTCTACACTCATCTGCAAATGATTGTCTGCTTAGGAACCTCCTGACCGCTATATTGATTGGAGGTTTGTTTAGCTGTCGGAACAGGCCTGCACATTGGTGGATCAGGAGTACAAGTGATCACATTTGTGGACAGCTTGTCTGCAGACCTGCGCTGTCACCATACAGATAAAGTTCCTCTGAAGGCATCAATCAGAAACTTACTGATAAGTGCATCATAAAAAGCTCACCAAGACACAGTAATATTGCTAAGTCAGTGCAACACAGTTACAGGCCCATAACCCGGAACCCAGCTCTTTATAGGGCTGCAGCTAACGATTATTTTCATAATCGATTAGTTGCCCGATTATTGTTGATTAGTTGCATTAAAAAAATCCCTCCCTCTCCCTCCTGATAATGAGAATAGTTGACAACTATTCTCATAACCGGTTTTTATGGATTAATTGGTTGCAGCCTCAGCTCTTTACTATGAGAAAATCACCACTGAATAATGTGTCAGTATACTAAGTTGTTACATCGATCCTCCTCAAACTAACGAGACAAGACTCATTAATTATGAAAAACCTAAGAACATTCTAAAGGAGGAAATGTCATGTATTGTTTGACCCTCCAGCAGACATACCAGAAAAGCAGCTCTCACATAGACGTAGATTCACTATATGGCAAAAAGAATTGGGACCCCCCTGTAAATGATGGAGTCCAGATGTTTCTGGTAAAGGGTACTGTTAATACTACGGCATACAAAGACATTTTAGACAATTATGTTCTTCCAACCTTGCGGTAACAGTTCGGAGAAGTTCCTTTTCTGTTCCACCATGACGGCCCCCTGTGTACAAAGTCAGCTCCATAAAGACATGGTGTGACCAGTTTGGTGTGGAGGTGCTGTGCACAGAGTCCTGACCTCAACCCTACTGATCACCTTTGGGATGAATTGGAACACTGAAATCCAGGTCTTCCCATCCAACATCAGTACCTGACCTAACAAATGGGCACAAATGGCCACAGACACCCTCCAAAATCTTGTGGAAAGCCTTCCTAGAAGAATGAAGGCTGTAGTAGCCTCAAAAGAGGGGGCAACAAAGGCAGCTCCATAAAGACATGATTTGACCAGCTTGGTGTGGAGAAATTGGAGTGGCCGGCAAGCCTTGACCTCAGCTGTACTGAATGCCTTTGGGATGAATTGGAGCAACAATCTGAGCCAGGTCTTCTCATCCAACATCAGTACCTGACCTAACAAATGGGCACAAATGGCCACAGACACCCTCCAAAATCTTGTGGAAAGCCTTCCTAGAAGAATGAAGGCTGTAGTAGCCTCAAAAGAGGGGGCAACAAAGGCAGCTCCATAAAGACATGATTTGACCAGCTTGGTGTGGAGAAATTGGAGTGGCCGGCAAGCCTTGACCTCAGCTGTACTGAATGCCTTTGGGATGAATTGGAGCAACAATCTGAGCCAGGTCTTCTCATCCAACATCAGTACCTGACCTAACAAATGGGCACAAATGGCCACAGACACCCTCCAAAATCTTGTGGAAAGCCTTCCTAGAAGAATGAAGGCTGTAGTAGCCTCAAAAGAGGGGGCAACAAAGGCAGCTCCATAAAGACATGATTTGACCAGCTTGGTGTGGAGAAATTGGAGTGGCCGGCAAGCCTTGACCTCAGCTGTACTGAATGCCTTTGGGATGAATTGGAGCAACAATCTGAGCCAGGTCTTCTCATCCAACATCAGTACCTGACCTAACAAATGGGCACAAATGGCCACAGACACCCTCCAAAATCTTGTGGAAAGCCTTCCTAGAAGAATGAAGGCTGTAGTAGCCTCAAAAGAGGGGGCAACAAAGGCAGCTCCATAAAGACATGATTTGACCAGCTTGGTGTGGAGAAATTGGAGTGGCCGGCAAGCCTTGACCTCAGCTGTACTGAATGCCTTTGGGATGAATTGGAGCAACAATCTGAGCCAGGTCTTCTCATCCAACATCAGTACCTGACCTCACCAATGGACACAAATTCACACAGGCACCCTCCAAAATCTTCTGTAAAGCCTTCCCAGAAGAATGAAGGTTGTTGTAGCCCCAAAAGGGGAGCAAAAAAACCAACTCTATAAAGACATGGTCTGACCAGTTGGGTGTGGAGAAATTCGAGTGGCCTCCACAAAGCCTTGACCTCAACGGTACTGAACACCTTTGGGAGGAAGGAACTCGAGTGGCCTGCAAGCCCTGACCTCAACCCTACTGAACACCTTTGGGATGAACTGGAACACCAATGCGCGCGAGGTCTCCTCATTCAACATCAGTACCTGACAAACTAAATTTTGGCAGACGAGTCACAAATTCTCACAGACACCCTCCAAAAGCTTGTGAAAAGTATTCCTAGATGAGTGGAGGCTGTTATAGCCACAAAGAGGGAACAACTCCATATTAATGCCCATGGTTTTGGCATGGGATGTCCAACAAGCTCATATAGGTGTGATGGTCAGGCATATACATTTATTAGAGAGGGATATACATTTATGGGTTGTGTGCCAAGACTGGTAAGTTCTGTTACAGCTGGAGGTACAGAGAAAAATCTTGTGGGGACTTCTCTAACAGTTGTATATAATTTCTCTTTAACAATAGGAACCTCCGGTTCTGGTAAAAGCCAATCAAATCTCACTGTAGATCAGGAGACAGGTCACCAATGCTCCTTAAAAGTTACAGCTGGTGTTCCGGTGACGTGGTCACACATGCTAACGTGCGTTAAAATGTGTGACCGTCACCGGTCACACATTCTAACGCAGTCACAATCTTTGACAGAACACTGGCACCTAACTTTGTAAGCTTTCCCTTCCCAATGGATCCAGCTCCTAAAAAAAAACAAACTCCTGCTGGCTCCTGGATTGGATGACTGGCTCCTAAATTCTGTATTAATGTGTCCACCCCTGATGTAGATAAAAGATTTTCATATCCGGACCTACTCCTATCGACAGCTCAGTTTTGACTAGGGAAAAAATGCTCGATTTCTGCTTTGTTACCCCAAAATAAAAAAAGATAAAAGGAAAGTAGGAAAACTGTACAACTAGAACATTCAGCAGTTGTTTCTGTCT